CGACTCCCGTGCGCTGGCGTCCATCAGCTCGCGCTCGCGGGGCTCTTGGATGCTCTTGGCCCCTTTCCCGGTGTGAAAACGGACCGCTGGCGCTTGGCCGCATTTGGTGTGAAATTGGGCTTTCAGTGAGGCCAAGTGAGAAGCTCGGAGTACTTTGTTTGGTTTTAAGCCCGGCTCGGTGTTCTTTCAGTCACCCCAGAGGTGACCTTGAATGCCCTTGCCCAGCGGGCGAGCGAAGGTCGGATCAGCCAAACCGACCAACACCTCTAAGTTTGGAGTTGGGGGGGGGGCCGGTTCTATGGCATATTGGGCCAGGGGGATGTACCATGGCATGCAAACCCATGTGAGCATTTCCACTTCCTGCACCCATTGACCCTTAGGGCCTTTGCATTTGAAATCGGTTCCGCTCATGCATGACAATCAATCCCCCCCATTCGGCACTCCTTTGAAACCTTTGGTGAGCAAAAACCTTTGGTTTGATGGTGCTTTCTTCTACTGATTGACTCGGGTCAAGGAAGCTTGGTGATACTTCAAGCCAGCATGTGTTTAGTGGTACACAAAGTCGCATGTAAACAACTAAATATATATATATATGTATACATAGATAGACATACAGGGGTTTGCTCCACTCCAAGTTAGCCTGAAATCAAGAGAACAAATCTACCACCTTGCCGGATCGATATCAGCTTTTGGGAAGCCCCCCCCCCCCCCCGCCTTGCTTCCTTCCGAAGCATAGACTTAGACTACGCTGTTTTGCCGTTCTGCCTTCTTGGGTTTTCTCACTTTCCCGTTCAACCAGCGAGCGCAGTGCTCACTTTTTGCGGGGGCGGGGAGGAGGGGGTCGTTTCCTTTTTGGGCGAGCGACCTGTTGTTTTCCATCCTTGTTGCTAGATGTTCACTCTCCTGTGAAAGAACATCAGGACCTGTTTTGGTACTTGGGAAGGGCAAAAGAAACCCCTTCCCTCTAACAGTGAACGTCCGCCTCAGGTTCTTTGTTAAACACCCCCTGGCCGAATCCAAATTAGAATAGACTCAATTCTGCACTAAGAAAACAAACAAACAAAAACAACTCTGAACTAGCGATTTTCCCAGCGACCTCTCCTCCCATGACCGGACCCACCCCGAAGTGAGCAAAACACGAGACTTGACACTTTTTTCCACAGGGTATGTTTGTCATCAGGGGCAGGGAACATTATTTTAATAGGGATGACTGGATTATTTGACCCCCAGTCCCTTGAACGGTCGAGAACAGTCTTCGGGAGGTGAGACGCGCTCTTGCCATGGCATGGCTGCTTGAGGGGAACTCCTGGTGGATGCAAGTCCGCCTGTGAGTTTCTTTGTGTTGGGGAGGGAGGTCCAAAAAGGAACCGCACCTGCCTCGGTATGTCTCAAAACAAAACACCTTACCCTTACTTGGCATGCTGGATTGGTGGTTTGGGAATTTGAACCCCTGGTTCTTGTAGAGGGTAACATGAGAAAGCCACCCCTAGCCACTCAAACCACCGGGCTCCAAAGCACCAGTTGGTGGGGAGCTGATGGATTTTCCTGGGAACTTGGGTTCTAGTGCCACTTTCTGTATGTTTTCAAGTGGAGAAGGTTGATTTTTTAGGAGCAGCGGACTGGCAGCGACCTGTTTGCTTTGGCTCAGGCGCGAGAGCCGGCAAGCGCTCGGCGCCTTGGCGCCTTGGCTTGAGGCCGAAGGAAGCCGAAGGGAAATAGAAGCCGAAGGAAGCCGAAGGGAAGCCAGAGGAAACCCACTACCTGAACCCTCAAAATTCCAACTTAAAAATGGGTTTGACCCCCTAAAATTATGGTTGGTGATATCCCATTTTTATGGGTAGTTTGAGGGTCCAGGTAACAGTAAAGAAAGGGGAAACCCAAGGAACCAAAGGATGGAGAGAGACGCCCCGTTGAAATTCATGCGTTGACCCTTGCATTTGGGAGAAGTGGGCGGTTCGAGGATTCTCTGACTCATGGTGGTGGGAGCACGCAGAAGCGTTGGCGCTCCTGGTATGGCCCATGAGCATCCTTCAATGATCGAGCTGCCCAGAGCTCGATCCATGAAAAGAGCCACCACGTTTTGAAGCCATTCGGTCCCCTCGGTCCCTGACAAATGGTTGATTGCGGGCTGCCGTCCTTTCAAGTGACCTCAACGTCAGATTGAACAGAGAGACCCCGGCAGGCACACCACTTGCAGAGATTTGCTTGAATTAGATGTAGCAGAGCGTTTGATCACTTTCCCGAAGGAACCACACTGCCCAGAGGCGATGCTGGACCTATATTTGAGCTCCGGGCGAATTTGGCTTCAGCCTCTTTCGACAAACGCGGGCCCTTTCCTTTGACATCCTGGGCAACAGGCTTACCTCTTAAAAACACAACTTTTCAACTTTTTGCGGGTAACATGGGCTATATGTCTGTAAAAGATTAACTTCCCCAGGGCTTGGAGTTTTAAGGGGTAAGCAGGGGATGGTCACTCAGCTTCCTGCCAACTTGGAACCTGCCAGAGGCCCCCCATAGAGTCAAATAGCCTTCTGGGATCCAGGTGCATGTGGCCCTGGAGGCGAGCCCGGTACAGGCCCTTGCGGCCAAGGCCGGGTCCTGGATAGTTTTGGTAACCCTACTACTTGTTGGTTCTCAGTAGGGGATGATCCATGGTGTTGGGAATGACCCTATGCTTTCCTTTAAAGGAAAACATGGGACAAACCATGCGGGATGGTATTCCCTGCTGACACAGCAAGATTAACCAGGGTTTCTTGCTGGGGAAACTAGTGATCGCTTGGCTCACTGGACCATCCCTGCGGAATTTAAGTGACGGGGGAATTCCCACTGGAAATCTCCATTAATGGCCCGCAAAAATGAAATTGGGCGCTCCGTCTCAAGGTAGGGAGGATCAAACCCCCTACACAAAGTCAATATAATGTACGGTTTACCGCAAAAAGCAAAACCAATTCTGGTTGCTTTATTTTGGTGTATGTCCCTAGCAAGGCAAAATTATGCGCTAGAATTTTGGTTACTATTGCGTGGTCATTCAGATGAAAGCAATGGTGTGGAGCAAATTCCAACCTTTCAAGTAGCTTGTGAAAATTTCTGAGGACTCGCGAAATGTCGACCCCACAAACCCAAAGTGGCTCACAGTTTATTCGCATGCCTGGCATACCACATTTCATACTATCCGGGCTTTTCCAGCGACAGCGACATTCTCCCGCGGCGAGAGCTTCTTTTATACCTCGCCTTCACGCATGAGGTATTGGTTGGCACTGGGGAGGGGTTGCCCATGTTTGGGTGTGTGTGTTTTTTGGAGGTAGCCTTTGTGGTTGTTTCAATGGGAACCAAGAGGAAAACTAGAAATTTTATGTGGGTCCCCCAAAAGGAGAGACGGTTGCCCATTTGCAGAATGGTCACCTCACTGGCATACAGACCATGTCTGGCCTACACCCCAAACCCAGTTCTTCCAGTTACCACTATAGTCGGTCATAGGTGTCCTTTTTAGGTTAAATTGTTTAGACATAGATGGCACTGGTTTGATGTGTTTATTCCATTCACCAGGGCCGTTTACTTTACCAAGAAGACACTAATGTAGTCAGCATTCTAGTAGGTAAGCAAGGGACACCATTCAACAATCGATTGTCAATCCATGGGTGCGTACAGGTGCTACTAGGATTTGCCACCACTGAATTAGGGAACCACGTTGCAAACCAATGCAAACCAGCATTCGGCCAGGTGTCAGCAGTCAAGGCTATCGGCCTGGGGGCCTGGCTTTGGAAGTGCAATGCTTTTTGATTTCTCTTCGCTTCAGCTCTTGTTTGTGTTGCTTCCCTTTTGATCTTGACGGCGCCTGGACCTGTTTGCTTCAAGAGCAACGATTGGCAATGAAGCAGCTGGGACTCGTTGGTTGTGTTGCACAGGGCGCGGCAAGAACGATTCGGACCGGACAACAAAACATGAATTCCACTCTCAATGGAGCAAAATGGAAGTGCAGATATTCCCAATCCAAAGGGTCGCTTGCTGAAAGGGTGTGTCCGCGGCGGATGCTGGCTTTGGCCTCTCATTGTTCAACCAGCTTTGTGTTGCTTCTTATTGGGAGCTAGACGTGAGCTTTTGCCCAACCATCCCTAACAAAACCCACAGTGCTTGAATCAGTGGTTGGGTGCCCGACATCGCAAGCTCGCACTTTCAAGAGAGAGAACCGAAGCTTTTCTTGAGGCACCCCCCATTCCCCAACTCAATGGATGTAGCTGCTGTTCCTGGGACAAGTTATTGGGCATATGCGGTTTCCTTGTCCTGTTGAAAGCTAATGCTAGTGGCATGAGCACAGCAGGAGCCCATTTGAAGGGGGGAATTTCATACAACTGTCCAGGGATTGTTTATTGGGCCACTGCAATTGACACTGGGCTTCACGGTTTGCTCAGTTGCTCGTCGGATTCGGCTCCGCGCAACAAAGTGGTCCACCTGGCTACGAGTACAACATTCTGTGTGCAGAAAGCATCATGCGGCAACGGGATGCAGCTCTGACCCTCTTTTTGTTGCTGTTGGCATGTTTGACTTTATTTTGTTTTCAAGGCTTGCCGCCATTTCCGATGAAGGCGGCATGGGGCTCACAAAGAACAGTGCATCTAGGAATCTGATTTACTCATGCAGTTCTGTTTACCGCAAATCCAATCATTCGCAGCTGGCGATCTGCACATGCCAACAGAAGCAACCCTGCACGTTGGTGAGAATGTATGCATACCGGCTGTAGGGTGGTCCCCATTGGCGGGGACTGGCCCCACATGCCCCAATATCCAGCATGACATGTGAGCTGAACGATCCCATTTGCGCCAACAGCCTACTTGCTCATTAGCCACGCGAAGAAGCTGCACAGGAGTTTCGCTGGCTGCATAAAAGGGAACCGCGACCCACCCATCAGGAACCCTTAGTTGGTGGTTTGAATGAAGTCATCCCTGGCTTTTGGAAACGACCCCAGCCCCAAACCAAGAGGGAAGCACCCTCGCCAAATTTCTGGAGCCTGTCCCAATCGGCGCTCGCCATGGCCGGCCACGCGGCCATGGGAAGGCGGGCACGCTGGAGCGGCTGCACCCTTGTTGGCTTGGCAGTGCCCAGCCCAGCCATACCCTTAGGCTTTTAAGTTTTTAGGGCTTGGTGGAGTTGGGATGGGTTTTCCTGCAGCAAACAAGATATATCCACCTTTCTTCTTTGCAACTGGTTGCATGGGGGTCTTCAAATGGTTCCCCTATTTTCTGGGGAATTGTTTTCCGGTTTTTCGGCGTATTTTTTTCTAGTTAGACTAGCAAGGAAGCAAGCAAGGGGTTAGCCGTAACCGAGGGCTTGCTAGCAAGTAAGCAAGTAGGCAAAGCAAGGAAGCAAGCAAGCAAGCAAGCAAGCAAGCCAGCAAGCCAGCAAGCAAGCATTTGGAGCAAGTTGGCAACCAAGCACGCAAGCAAGCAAGCAAGCAAGCAAACGCAGAAGCAAGCCAGCCAGCAAGCAAGCAAGCAAACATGCAAACAGGCAAGCAAGCAAGCAAGCAAAGCAAGCAAGCAAGCATGCAAGCAAGCAAGCAAACAAGGAAGCAAGCCAGCAAGCAAGCAACGTGCAAACAGGCAAGCAAGCAAGCAAAGCAAGCAAGCATGCAAGCATGCAAGCAAGCAAGCAAACAAGGAAGCAAGCCAGCAAGCAAGCAAGCAAGCAAGCATGCAAGCAAACATGTTTTTAAGCAAGCAAGCATGCAAGTGTGCAAGCAAGCAAACAAGGAAGCAAGCCAGCAAGCAAGCAAGCAAGCAAGCAAACATTTTTTTTTGTGTCGCTTGGCGTTGCGAGGGCTGCGCTTGGTAGGAATGTGCGGAGAGTAGAGTAGGTGGACATGACCAGAGCTGACGTCACACTGTTTCTTCACGCATGGTCACGAAAGCCATGCTTCATACGCGTGGCCTGTCCTTCTTTCTTCGAACACAAATGGTGTTACATATGCGAAGAATTGCGCTTTAAACGTCTTAACAGCCCAACCCAACAGCCAACAGCCCAGTAGCCCAACAACCCAGTGGCCCAACAACCCAAGACTTACTCCCAGCAGCAGAAGTGGAACCCAGCAGTCAATCACCCCCAAGTCAAACAACCCTGAAAGAGCCCAATGGGTCAGCAAAACAATACCAAACAACCCAACCAACAGCCCAGCAGTGCAACAACCCAGCAAAACCAAGAACCCAACCAACAGCCCAACCAGCTCCCCGGTCAGCCCCAGCAACACAAGCCCTAAACCCTCAACCCTAAACCCAGCAAGCCTAATAGGCAGACCTAACAGTCGACAGCCCACTAGCCCAACCCAACAGCCCAACAGCTTACCCAACAGCCATTAGCCCACCAGCCCAACAACAGCCCCAGCCCAACAGCCAAAAAGTCAAACAACCCTGACAACCCAACAGCCCAGTAGCCAAACAACCCAGTAGCCCAACAAGCCAAGAACAGCCTAACGCAACCACAAACCTTGCTCCCAGCAGCACTAGTAGAACCCAAAAGTCAAACAGCCAGTAGCCCAACAACCCAACAACAACCACACCCAAACCTTAAACCTTAAACCCAACAACAGCCCAGCAGCAAAAAGCAACAACAGCCCAACAACCCAGTAGCCCAACAGCCCAAGAACAACCTAACCCAACCACAAACCTTGCTCCCAGCAGCACTAGTAGAACCCAACACAGTCAAACAACCCTGACAGCCCAACAGCCCAGTAGCCCAACAACCCAGTAGCCCAACAAGCCAAGAACAGCTTAACCCAGCCACAAACCTTGCTCCCAGCAGCACTAGTAGAACCCAAAAGTCAAACAGCCAGTAGCCCAACAACTCAACAACAACCAAACCCAAACCTTAAACCTTAAACCTAACAACAGCCCAGCAGCAAAAAGCAACAACAGCCTAACACCCCAGTAGCCCAGCAACCCAAGAACAACCGAACCCAACCACAAACCTAGCTCCCAGCAGCGCTAGTAAAACCCAAAGTCAAACAACCCTGACAGCCCAACAGCCCAGTAGCCCAACAACCCCGTGGCGCAACAACCCAGCCTATTCCCAGCAGCAGAAGTTGAACCCAGCAGTCAAACAACCCTGACAGCCCCAACAGAGCGCCCAGAAGTCGAACAACCCTGAAAGAGCCCAGCAGGTCATCAAAAAAATACCAAAGAACCCTTAAACCCTAAACCCAGCAAGCCTAACAGGCAGACCTAACAGTCGGACAACTCTGACAGCCCACCAGCCCAACCCAACAGCCCAACAGCTTAAAAACCCTGCCCAACAGCTCAACAACCCAACAGCCCAACAGCCCAGTAGCCCAACAGCCCACCAGCCCAACAACAGCCCCAGCCCAACAGCAAAAAGCAATAACAGCCCAACAACTCAATAGCCTAGCAACCCAAGAACAACTTGACCCAATTACAAACATGAATCCCAGCAGCAGAAATAGAACCCAACTGTCAAACAACCTTCCAGCCCACCAGCCCAACAACCCAACAGCCAAAACAACGCAAGAACAAAACCCAACCCGACCACAAACTTGAAAAACTACCCCAAAAAACTGGAAAACAATTCCGCGAAACAGAAAACCACCTCTTCAAATTGGGGGTTTGCCGTCTTAAATCATAGAGGCCGTTTTACGGAACCGACCTGGAGGCAGCCTGACTGCGGCAAACCTAAATGAGGTGTGTGTGCCACTGCTTGGGTTGATTCATTTGATGAGCTCCGAATTGCGTTCCGGCTATTTGGCTGGACCTGTTGCCAGCATATTGGTTGCAGCTGAAAATTGTCCCAGCAAACAAGCTCGACGTTTTGGGGCAGGGGCAACCAGCAACCTTCCATTGGTTCCCGGAGCGATTACTGAGCTGAGGCGGGCGCTAGGCGCGGCGATCCATGCAGACATGGGGGCTATGCTGCGATGGCGTCCAAATAGAAAGCTAGTTGCTAGTTACTATTAGTGCGGCCACTGCTATTTGGTCAATGAGCCAAAGAATGTTCCTAGTAACTATGTGTACAAAATTCGACGTGCACATTGCATTATGAGTTATAGTGATTTTACATGTATACAAAATTATATATGCACCTGTTCTTGCTGCATCTTCGCTTTGACCAGCATTTGTTCAGCACGGATTGATTTGAGGTGGCCCTTCGTCCTTTAAAGCCCATTGCTTCGTGTTTGGCCGTTGGGTTCATGCCTTTGGAGGCAGTTTGGGTGTGTCTCAAACACATAGACTCCCCAACACAATGCGTCCCGTTTGCTTTTCCGCGAAAACTGAGTCAATCTTTGTCACCTATACCTTTGCCCTTGACATGATCATGGTTGTGTGTAGAACGTATTTCAAAATCCTAGGTTTACTCACAGACTAACATGGGAGCTCCACTGTACATGGAGAGTCTTCCTTCAAAGGGTTCTCAGACCCTGCAAGCTTCCATGGAATCACCTGGAGGGTAGGTTGAATGTTGAGCAACACCCAGCTCCATTTGCTTCGTCAGGCCATGGAGACGTGGACAGAGGCGCTGGCCTATGGGGACCCAAGGTTTGTTTCCCTCGAAGCTACGACTTTGGGCGGCTGTTCAAAGGCCAATCCCGAATCCTGGCTTTGGGTTCTGAACGGAAACGGTCTCCTTTCCAGTCATTCTCTAAAGAAAGTATGGAGTAGGATTGGCCACTCCATGCAGGGCGGCCAAGAAGTCCCCTGGACAAGTTGTAAAGGGCTCACTTTCAGGGAAACGAGGTCATAGAACAAATGCCCAGTTGTTGGGATTCGGGGCATGGGTGTTTAACACAAACCGTTTGGTTGTAACCATGGTCAGTAGTCAACCAACCCAGTTAACCACTTGTAAGCCCAGCGACAACCTACTTGCTAAGCTGGACCTCCAAGCGCTTCTTTTGCATCCAACACCCAGCTTGGCCAATACAGGGAGCACAGGTGCTCAATAAATCCTTGGGGAGTCCGCCGCCCATCGAGGCATTGGAGCTCGTGGTGCTTGCCTTGCGTTCCAGGACTGGCATGAGTTGCGCATGTGGGTCACTGGGGGCTGCTAAAACTTGAGTGGTTGTGCTTCTTTGATTTGTCAGAGGAATCTCCTTTTGGGAGACGCCCTGTTTGAGTGCCATGTTTTTTTGGCTGGAAGGTACTTCATTGGTGGTTGTTTCCGACCATGGCAGCTACTCATGTGGCAACATGCCGCCACACATGCAGAACATTCCGATGAAATCCACCGCGGGGGATACAGAGTTGGCTGGTGGCTTCGCTGTTAGCAAACAACTTTGTTGGCCCTTGGAACCCAAAAAGCCAACAATTAAATCACACCAATAATGACTGCCTCATAACAATTTTGGTGGTCGCGAGTTTGCAGCCCTGAAAACATATACCCCGAAAGCTTAGCTTTTGCGGGGAGCGCTCTTTCTTACTGACTGTAAAGAAGACGCCTGAGCAACTTGTTGCTCGGTAGATTCAGGCCGTGGCGTCGCCATGCGAGAAAGATGCAGGTTGCCAAGACAACCTGATTGGTCAGCAACCCCAACAAAAACCTCCACCGAGTTGCCGCAGCGTGATGCTTTTGTTTTTAAGCAGCACGTCTAATTATATGCTTAGCGCAGTGCAAACCCCCAAAAAAAGGGGGCACAGTATTGCGATACTGAAAAAGAATGCCTTCTCGCACAAAATGCCATTCTGTCACTGTGACCTCCAAAATATGTAAAGGTACAATGGAGACCCTAGCCCGGGTTTTCCAAGGGCCCGCAACAAACAGGGTCCTTCTTGATTTAGCTCTTGGCTGAAAAGGATAATCAGCCAAAGGCAACTGCTTTTTCAGGGTCCGGGAAGACCAAGGCTAAGAATTAGCAAAACGAGGCGGCCAAGTAGGGAAGCTTTCGTGAGGAGCGAGCAGGCGCAGGTCAGCTACAGCACCAGCATCCGCCAGCTGGGGCGGCGGGTTTGGCGCCAGGGGCTTCGACAACTGCGATATCTTCAGGAGGGAAGTGTCGCTCCCGAAG